GATAAAACGATTTGTGGTCCGCTCGGATTGCATGCTGTTCAGCGAGCTTGCGAGCGTGAGTGCGTGTAGTGTGAGCCCAAAGTCTTACAGCCTCGCACTCCTGCGGCCCCAAACCTTGTTTGTTGCTGGCTCGCCGAGATGTGCGGATGCTCCGATTTGTCGCCTGCTCGCACCACCAAACCCTTCGGCGCTGAAGCCTTGCGACCTACAATGCAGCACAGGCTGCAAACACCATCCGAAAAACAATGCCCGCCGTTCTCAACCCGAACACCCAGAAGAAGCCAAATCTGTGCGTGTGCAGCAGGAGGGCTCCATACAGTGCTGGCAGGACGAGGTGCAACATCCTGGGATTTGTTCGTCATCAGCATCGCCTTTAGTGTAGTCCTTGATCCGCTGACCCGTACATCTCTGTGTCTGTGCCTCAAGCAGTATACGGTCGGTTTCGGATTGAAAGGGTGCGCTAGACAGCAACACAGAACCGCCAAGAAGCCCGATCACCAGGACAGCGCCACCGTCCGAGAGTGGTTCAGGCGTGCCCGACTATGTCTCCAAGTAGAAATCCTTGAACACTTACAGCATTGTGTTCTTGAAAGACGGTTCCATTGCGGTTGTTGGGGTACAAAGCTGCAGGTGGCCTAGTGCAGGATGCTTCTCTGATGGCATTTCAGTCCCTGAGCCGTCATTGCTCTGTAGCTCTTGTTGAGCAAGTCCGTCACATCTACAGGCCGAAGAATCCTAAGCCAACCGATAGGAAGAGATTGAAAGCACGAGGAGACGGCAAGTGCGAGGGGGTGTAAAGCACCAGCCCTTTTTCCGAGCAAGCGCAACAGAAACCTCTGTAGCACTAAGAATCCCAGAGCTGTTTCGGGGAGGCCTGGCTCAGAGACTGCTATGTTTGGCTCTGGCAGCTCAGCTTGAAGCATTATGGTTCCTTACACGGGCTACAGATGACGACAAGATCAAGACTTGCAGGTTGAGGGTTCGAGGTCGAATTGCCCGACTGCCAACATCTCGCAGCCACGTTCGAGCTTGTCGAGCAGGGGAATTCGTTCAGGTCGAAGATGCATCTATTCAAAAGCAACTTGCGGTGGAGTCAATGCATGCAACAGCCTTGGGCACCACAAACTCGCCACGGATGTTTAGCAGTCTTGTCGCTTTTCCAGGATATGCTTGGTTGGTTTTCGCCAACCACCGCGACCGCGACGAATCCCTGCACAAGCCGTTCGGCTAGACAGAGCTCTGCACGGATTCGACGAGCTGAGCTTTTCTGGGCATCTCTATGCAGATTGGCCTCGTGGAGTTGGACCTCGCTTGCCTGTGCTTGTAGCCACAATAGGTGGAGTTGACGCGACTCTAAGCAAGATGCACCGACAACAGATCTTCAAGAACCGACAGCCTCCAAAGGCCCAGCAGTGCTTCAAAGATGCCGAAATGGCAATGGAACCTCATGTCCTCAGAGCGCTGCTCCAAAGAGCATCCGAGGATGCTATGCCTCGAGAAGGACGGGCGAGGCCTCAACGATCTCCTAGGTTTTCCGGCCATTCCAAGGAGTGGTTAAGGGTACGGATCATAGATGGTGCGGAAGGTGTTTTTCTAACCGCGCTGCGCATCTGACGGAGCAAAAAAACCCTTGCGAGCTGTCCCGGGCCGAGCTGCACGAACGGCGCCTCCCCGGCCTCGCGCGAGGGATCGTCTGGGAAGATCCGGAGACTGGCCAGCGTCAAGTCCTGGACTTCGGGGTGCCGACGCCCGGCCTGGCAAGAGTCACCTGGGACGCTGGAAGTTCGGGCAGGGCTTGTGTGTTCTCTCAGAGCTTCGGACGCCGGGGTTGAGAGGTTTGGGTGTGGAAGATGTGACAGCGCGGACACCGCAGTTCCGAATACCTTCCATTTACCACATTCATATTCGGCCAGACCTAAACCAGCCTTCGGTTGAGTACTTCTGCAAGGAAACACATCGCCTCAATGCCCGTAGCCCTCACCTGTGGTGCCATTTTGGCCCCATCGAGGCGCTGTGAGCCCACCAACGTCCGGTGGGAGCCGCCAGTCGTTGCAGCCATAAGCCGAAGCTTTCGTTTCAGGGTGTGTTGGCCAGTGGATGCCGCAGCCTATATCAGTCCTGACAGAATCAGTTTTATTCACACCGGAGTGCAGGAAGTGGTAAAGGGAGCTCTAGAACCATCACCTTGAGTCCTTGGACTCAACAGCTTAGGCATTTGGGCCTCGGTATTTGCTGTCGTCGCTCGCTCTTCCTGGGCGAGCTCAGGCCGCAAATGAACATGCCTTGGTCTGCGATGGAAGGCCCAGAAAGTATGAGAAGATCCTAGGAGAGATGTTGGAAGTCCCCACATGCGATGACGCGGATGCACCATGTGGCAGAGCCGAATGCGTCCCTCCAAGGCCTTGCTGCTCTGGCTTGCTGCAGCAGGCTGATTTCTCAGGGGTGTCGGTATTCCGGAGGGTTCGGCGAAAGTGGTTCGGGATCTTGAGGGTTTCCAAAACGGGTTTCGGGCATGATAGCCTCATAGAGTCATGGAGTCCGGATCTCTGTCTTGAACGTTTCAGTAGGCGTCAAAATGTCTATCGGCTTGTCCGGCTTTTAGGAGCCTTGCCTTCTTTGAGTTTCGGATTTTTCCCAAATCTTAGTTCAAGGTGTGCGTCACAGTGAAAAGCTGGCGACACAAGCCTCCAATCAAAGCAGCTGACAGGCTTCTTGGCCATCAGCATCTATGTACCTTATGCGGAGTATGTGACCTCCTTCTTGGAGGAGGTCCGGGGTGCAAAACGCTGTCTGCAGTCCAAGGGGGTTGCGTGCGGAGACCCAGCCTCCTTTCGCAAGGAATCTCGAAACCCGCCCGGAACCGAAACACAATCCGATTGTTTTCAGCCACTCGTCGTCATCGCACTGATTCCAGGCTGAGTGAACGTCCCCAAAGACAGCTCGTTCTGCTTCGGGTAAGAGCTTCCAATAAGCAACAACACAGCATCAAATCAACTTAAAAATTATCAACACAAGGGCTTCGCGACAATAAGCCCAGCAAGATCAGAGGGACGCCGCAAAACATCAACTCAAACAGGCAAGCAACAAACAGATCAGTTCAAATGGTACCGAGTTTCGCTCTGGCTATGTGGCTCTCTCGTTTCTAGGCCACAAAATGAGTCGGAGTCCGAGTCGTCTGGGACGTTTCAACGAACTGTTCGATCCGATCCGTGTCTCTCTGAGGCAGGCAAATTCCCTCAAGGCTTCATGATGGGCCTGCTCGGATTCCTGCTACCCGGCCGTGTGATTGAAGGAGGGACCTAGAAGAGGTTTGGCATTGAGCTTCGTGGATGTAGGTGATACTAACGAAGGCTCGATCCCAAGTGCGACGCAATTGTTGTGTTTTGGTTTGCTTTCGGGTGGAGGAAGAATTTGACACCGGGCTCCAAGGCTAGGTTAGGTCGGATTTCGAAGAGGTAGTCGTCGAAGTTTCTCTATCCGGCCCAGGATTGGACTGACATGGTGGGCCATGTGCATGATGATAGGCCGGGCCGGTAAACCGTAAACCCGCACCTGTTACCGAGCCATGAACCCGACATGTAGCCCCAACTTGAACCCACGTCTGACCCTGAACTATAAGGCCACTGTAGAGATTGAGCCCGTCATCCGCTATGCATCCTGAAACCCTCAACCAGCAAGTCTGTGCTTCGAATGTGCCACTAGGAGTTTGCTCTGATTTTGTAAGCCGAAACCTCAGCTGAGAGGAGGAAGGCAGAGATGGCATCTAGCTGCGAACTAGCCGTGCCCGTCGAATATGCCAATACCTCTGGGCAGATGGGAAGCCACATACCTTCAAATCCTAAGTTCCATAGGTCCCAACCACAAACCTAAGTTGGTCTAAACCCTCGAACCTGGCGCTTCGAGACCTAACCTTGAGCCAACAGTGACGATCGACACCTGCGTCCATAACGGTATAGATTGGATGACGTTTCGGGCGTCAGGTTTGGCAGGATCGCAGTCTTTCATCCAGTTGTGTTCGGCCACATGCTGTAGGATTGCAAGATGCAGAGTATTGTCGATCGATGATCATGGTTCGCACTGTCAAACCAGGTTCCTTGTTGAGGAGCGCAAAGCCGTTGCAGTGGGGCTAGTGTTGTGAATGTCACTATCTCTGCTCAGGGACTTGCGTGAATGTCGCGGGCTTCCAGACGATTGAAGACGAGAACCTCTTCATTTTCATTACATTTACCATCTTCTGCGTTGCTGTGGAGCAGTTATGAAATTATCCAACGCAAACTAGCAGCCCACTGTGCTTGCTACTGCTGCCGAGGTTGCTGCCTCGGCCTTCAATGTCTACCTGACCTGGTACTACACGCAGGATTTCCGGTTCTGACCGTCAGTTTCAGTCACCGCCTTTTGCGAAGCGGGAGAGACGGTGCCTGGGCTTGCCGCAAGGACCTTTGGCAACATCACACCAGCAGCTGGTTTCAGAGAGTCAAAGGCGGGAAGGGTGTTGTCACTGTTGTCTTTCTGAATGACGTGGATGAGTCTTTGAGCCCGGAGCCATCAACAGCCCAAGCCAGACTTCGGTTGCCTCCGCAAGGCTTCCTGTTGGACACCGGCGGCCCTGTGACGACACTGCGGGACTTGAGGCGCTTCTGACAGGTTGCTGTTTGGAATTCAGGGTTCGGCGCTTTGGAGCATCTGGGCTTGGAGCTGAGCCATCCTGAGGGAATGCATCTCCGGGACTACCTCATCTAACTAGAGATTCTCATCATTGCAAGTGTGGGCGAGAGCAACGCCTCCAAATCCAAGTCATACGGTTCAGGAAGGAGATCGACTTCGGCTTCAGAGCCGTGTCCGCAAGCAGAAACCTTCGTCAAGTCAGAATAATTTGGGTGTTCTGTTATCGCGATAAACAAACTTATGCTTATGTACTAGAATGAATCAGAAGAACTTGGCCATGCCTTGGTTTTAAAGCCGAAGACCGCAACCTTAGATCGCCGGACATGCGTGCCATTGCGTGGCTGCGGCAGGGCCATCTTCAACTTATCCGGTACTTGACAAGGGTCGATGATAGACTTCAAGCCCAAACGGTCGAAGATGCAAAGGAGTCTTCCAAGTGCTGGTGCCGGGCGTGCTGTTCACCCCCTGTCTGCTGAGCCCGCTGAACAACTTCCTGCACCTTCGCAGCAATCAGGCGCTGTGTTCGTCCTATCGGCCCGAAGCCTCGAATCCCGCAGGTTCTTGCGGAGGCAGGAGTCATGGTTGAGGCAATTTAGGGTGATACGAGAGGGAACAGCAATGGCTGCGCCATGAACGGCATGCTTTCGTATCTGAAGGGTGGATGCTGCTGATCGAAACGATCCCAGAAGAGATGCGCTAACCTTGCCGTGCCTGTGAGACGTTTAAGTTTAAGCATACCGAGATGGCGTTTTTTGTTGTACTTGCACCATGTCTTGCGCAAAGATGCTTTTCCTTTTCTCGGCTCTGCTTCCGAGGATTCCGTACTTTCGGGAGTCGGCTTTGCTGCTACTCTTCGGACAAGGCAAACGTGCACAGAGATCGTCCTTTTCGCATTCATAGCCGAGTTCTTTGTGCTTCCGAAGCGATCGGATGTGTGATGCTTGCAAGCAGCACCGTGAATGCACTCTCTCTCGGGATCAACTCTACAGAGTGCCTGAGTGGTTCTGTCTGCCGCAGGAAAGAGTGGCAGGGAAGCGGAGAGGTTCCTGGAGCCACTGCCCATAGGTGCGGCACGGGCGTGGGTCCGCAGTGAACCGTTCCAAGATTTAAAGACGACAGCGGACTTGCGGACTCGCGGACTTTGGAGCAGTTCTCGATGAATGCTTGCAAAGTCGCAAGGCTGCCGTGGTGAAACGCAAAGACTTACAGAGTCATGTTCTCTTCTCTTTGCTGGAGTGGGGTATGAACGAGGAATAACAGTGACGAAGTGGGACAAAGCTTGCTCCTCTGTTAGGCCTTGCCTGGGACTACCAGGGCCACGTGACGCTGCCTTGTTGCTGCGAGCTCGCACTATGCCGGCCATGGAGCATTGAGGGCTGTTTGGGGTTGCTGGGAGAGCCAGGGCTGAGCATCTCGAACCCCTTTGAATCACATTGTATTCTCTTGGATAACCCTCAAAACCACGCCGTGTACATCGCAATCTGGCGAAATAGGACTTGTGGCATTCGGCTTCAGTCAGCGTCAGAAGCGGCCGGAAGACTCTCTCGTCGGGCGGGCTGGATTCTGCATGTAATGAGTGAGGAACTTCCAAGTGAGAGGAGCTCTTTGGTGTTTCGTGGTAATCGGATGTAGAGCTGGTTAACTTTCCTGGGAAAGAGACTCGCCAGCCCGAAGCCCCAAAGCCCAATTCCGAGAGGCTGCTGTCTCACGCTCTTCATCATGTCCCCTTCCATGTGGTGGACGCAGGCTTACCTGTGCAGCCCGCCTTGGAAGCCGAGAGACGACGTTTGCTTTCGGAGTTGGGGTCAGTCGTTACAAAGGGGTGGAGGTGCTTCTTCCGACATCTTCCGACTCGGGCTCGGTCCTGGGAGCTCCGAGGCGTCTGGGCCTTCTTCTTCTACTTCTTCCAGCGCTTCATGCACCTCCGCGTCTGCAAGAAGATGCCCCTGGGCTCGATCTGCGACGGTCTGCGAGACGTCAGGGGCGAAGAGGAAGAAGGTGCTGCTGCTTGTGCTGGTGGTCCCTCGAAACTTCACCGAAAAGAGAGCAAGAGCAGTTACCACCCGAAAGGAGAGTATAGAACTGATCGGTGGCAACTCGTACACTTGTACAGAGAACAGGACAGCGTTTGAGGCTGTCAAAAGAATGGAAGCACGAGCAATAGAAGAGCATCTCTCGCATCAGTGGTTGCTGCTGATTTACTCCTAAGTTGTTGATGCACGCATGTCATGTTAGTGTCAATGAACAGCGCAATTAAATCTCATACAATGGAGCAAATAGTATTAGCAATACATAGGGACATAGTGACATAGTGACATAGTGAATGCGGCACAGGTGGTGGGTCTGTTATCAGAGCAACCGTAGTTTGATGGTAGCATGGTGATATACTTCTGCTGCAATATCGGCGGACCGCTTGCTAGTGTTGACCGCCGCATCAGTGCTAATTGCAGTATGGCTTCGGCTCCACTCAGGTACTGCACATCGAACAAGCTGGAGCTGCGTGGGTTCAAGGGTTTCGGCGACGTCCAGCACTGCTCAGAAGGGTAAAGTAGCGCCCCGAGCCCAGAGCAGCCCGACAACCTCGAAGCTATGCCTGGACAGGACAGCATGGTCCTCTACTTCGGCTGGGGATTGCTCCTTGCGGAACTGGCATCTCGCATCACCACTAAAGGCTTCGCGTTTTGGGGCTGTTGGTGCCAGCTTTCTTCTCTCTGCGGTTTTCATCGGCATCGCCCTCTCCGTCCTCAAGTGTGCACGACAGCATGCTGGAGGCTAACACTTAAAGCTTTGCCTCCCCTGGGTAGCAGCTTCAACAATTTGCAAAGACTTCCATCGCGACCGCGTGTTGAAGCCTGAATTCCAAGGCGGCTTGCCACGCGTACTGGAGAGTCAGGCTTCAGGAGTGGTCTTTTGGCTGCAAGCCGGTTTGCAGGCTGCCCTTCGTTAAAGGCTGTACATGAGCATGTTTACCGACTATACCCTTGAATGGCTGGTGACAGCTCGCGCAGCAGCTTCTTGCCCCTGTGCCTGGGTCTCCCGAAAGCGCGAACTCGTAGAGTCTTCTCGACCGAGGCAGTGGATATCGATCCTGAAGGCAGTGGCGCTCTCTTACGTGGCTGCCTAAGTGGGCACGGGGTTCCGGATCCGAGGGTGTGGGATGTTTGCCTCGGCGAAGAGGAAGCAGTGTCAACCTCTCCAGCATTGACGCTGAAGTCTGTGTGGTCGGGGTTCGGGTTTGGTGGGTGCAGTTTTTACATGCTTCGAGACGTGAAGCTCAGCCTTAAGCATCGATTCCGTTGCAGGCGACCCCGTGCATCTTGCATGCTACTTCCGAGGGTTTAGTCTTCAAGACCCGGAGGACCATGGACTACCTCAGGAACGCGATGTGTGAACCAACATCCTCTGCATTGAAGCTCCCTCAAGGTCTAAAACGGTGTCGTTTCAGAGTGCTGAAATCTTCCAGCCCAAGTCAATCTCCGAAATCTAGGAAGCAACACGCATCTGTTGATATGAATCGCCTTGGCCAAGAAGGCGGAAGCTAGATCCTGCAGCAAGCCGTTCCAAAATCACAAAGCTCCAGGCTGTCTACTGGTCGCTCCTCTGGGCCTTGGGTGTTCCCTGGCCGCTTCGCTTCCGGGGCGAGCTCGACACGCAGCTAAACAAGTTCTGTCCTGGACTGTGTCGTCCGATTCTTTGTTAGGCACAGGGCACAGCATGCAAATCTCATGGTAGAAGGCATGATCCCTGTCCGTCGTTCTGCGGTGCCGAGTGCGGTAGGGTACGTACGGTATGGTGCGTTATGGTACCGTATACATGGTACCATATGGTACAGGATGGTGCGGCATTGCGCGGTATAGTGCTGCACGGTGCAGTGCGAACGGCATGGTATGTATATCAGCGTGAAAAGTATGTAGTGTGCTTAGTGTATTCGTGTATGTATGTATGTATGTATGTATGTATGTATGTATGTATGTATGTATGTATGTATGCATGTATTCGTGTATGTATGTATGTATGTATGTATGTATGTATGTATGTATGTATGTATGGTGTATGTATGTATGTATGTATGTATGTATGTATGTATGTATGTATGCATGTATGGTGTATGTATGTATGTATGTATGTATGTATGTATGTATGTCCAAGTACAAGCATTCCTGCCGCTCGCCCGTCCACCACAATGTATTGTCATGCGATGTCGAACCCAAACGTGTGCATCATCCGAAACCCTGTAACCCCGTGCATGATCCCTAAACTCGAGAAGCAGCCCTAAACCCTATAGGCGCAGATTCACAGTTTTTGAGAAATATGAACAAGGAAGCCGAATATAGAAGCTACATCAGTCGAAGCAGCAGGATCCTTGTTGGAAGGATGTGCATGATGCGAATAAGCCCTACCAAAGCCTTGCAACAAGCCGTAAAGCACAACAGTGCTGTATGAAAGCGCTATACACAGCCTTGTAAAAGCACTGTAAGCCTGTTGAACATGCTGTGTTAACAACACTGATCGCGACCGCAAGAGCCAAACCTTACAACCCGAATTTCGCACATATTTCGCTGGTCATTTTGCCCAGGACCGATTGGAGCGGACACGAGAAAGATCTGACGTGGGCGGCTTACCTCCCGGCTTTAGGGTCAGGAAGAGTCATTTGGTTTCTGGGCTTCTATCGGTTGTTATAGCGTTCTGTTTTGTAGGTACGGATGCTCACAAACCTACCGAGACTTCAGGCACTTGAGATTTCTGTGCCCAAGCCCCCGATGGCGCGAATTCCGGAGCCCCAATCCGAAAATAAACCCTCACTGGATTCCAGGCTACCGAGCCGTAGGTCAGAGCCTTGCCAAGGATCGATGCCAAAGCTGCGAGGACTTCTGCTACAACTGGCTCAACGTGAATCCAGTTTATGTCCCTAGTTTGGACTTCCAGAAGGAGGTTTGTTTTTTGTTAAAGGTTTTTTTCCATTGCACCTGCTCTCGCTGTTTTTTTTGGCACTTCCTGGCTTCTCGGCTTAGCAGCAGAGAGCCTCCGGAAAGGTCCTGAAGAGCCAGTACTGCGCTGACGAGCTCGGCCTGGATCCCTGTGTCTTCTACGAGCCCGGCCCTTCGGCGACAGTTGGAGGTTTCGCTGCGAGGCCTCGGATGCGAAGAGTCCCACTCTTGAAGCCGAAGCTTCGGCGAAGTCGCTGCAGAGCGGAGCTGTAGAGTACAGCTGTAGAGCCCGACTCCCCGCTGCGATCCCTGCGATCGCTGAGGAAAGGAGCCGCTCGGCGATTTTTGGAGAGCCCAAGCGCTGTTCGAAGCCGCATGCGCTGGGTCTTGGAAGCGAGGGACCTCCAGGTTTCAGGGCCACTGCAAGCGCCAAGACTACCTGGGAACAGGATTCGGGAGGCTAGGCGGCCAGACGATGAACCCTAAGCCTTAGGGCAGGTAGTGTTTGGAGGTCGCTCGCAGGCAGCACCAGACTCGAAGGGAGATGCAGATCGATATACACTTCGGAGTAAAGTGGTGAGTCGGCCAAGATCCAGCAGCGATCTTCACGCTGTTTGAAGATCTGTCTGCCCAATTTCTCTCTAGTTGGAGGTATCTCCAGCTGGCTCCCGGGGACGAAGCTTGGCTTTTCCAGTCAGGAGTTTTGGGTGGCAGCACTATTACTTTCAGACCCCCTCAGCCAGAAGAGCCCAGAAGTTCTTTAAGTACTAAGCCTAAACAGACTTTGATCTTTAAGGGAGACCTGCACGCAGCGCAGAGCCAGCGATGGAAGAAAGCAAGTGCAGGCCTGACTTTGAGACTATCGGACTGCATGAGAAGCCGTGAGTTCGTTACTGCGCTGCTTGATATCCCGGGATGTACGCCTGTCTTGCCTCGTGTCTATGCTTTCCTATCGCTACATTTCGAACATGCGTGTCCTGTCTTCTGGGTTGTCATCTTCATTCTAATCCTAATCAGCCACAAGACGCTACAGACATCCGTGGCCTGGCATTAGGACACGGTGCCATACACAAATTGGTCCGAACAGTCTTGCCCAACAGAGAAAAAGGTACACGGAGTAGCATTCTTCGAGTGGTCTGATGTCTTGCCTTACTGATGTCCAAGTCCTGAGCTCGCGGTCCAGCTTGAAGCTAGTTGCAACGTTGCCTGGAGATAAGAATCTGACGCCTCCTTGACAGGCCTATGGCTGGAGTTTGAAGGGCTGGGCTGCATTGCGCCTATCTGTTTCGACGAGGCCCAGTTGAGGTTTCGGGTTGACCGGGCTTTGGGTCCGTGTAGGGTTGGAGTCTTCGGGAGCCCAAAGGCTACGAAGTCCGGAGCCTCACCCTTCGGAACCGAAAATATGCTGCGCGGTGGATAGAAGAGGTGCCACCCAACCAACAAAATTTAGCCTACACTTCATGGCTACCTCCCGAGCCTAAAACACAAGATTCAAGACGAAGCTTGTATCTTCAAAGATGGTGAACTCACGGACCGCCCCACGTCCTGAGCTCTTTGAGCTACAGGGCTTTTGTCATGCCGGGCAGAGCTGCAGCAAGGACCCTTTTTTTTTTTGTTTTCTGGGTCACTTCACTTGACTGGTCTGGGACTCTGCCACACACCCGCGGCCTTCAACTTCCAGCGTGCATTTCGATTTTGCCTCTAGACACGGCGATGCCAGGTGTGCACGGACGTGAGCAGCTCCTTGGCGAAACTTGAGCCTCTGGATCCTTTAGACACTCTGGATTTGGATGTGTTGACTGTTTGGCAGGGTCATGGCTTCGAGGTGGAAGGGATTGCGCATAAGTTTAAGGGTCAGGGTTCGATTTGAGGAACTCTGCTCCGAATCATATCCGAAAGCGACCATGCCACCAGTGCTTCCACTTTTCGACAAACCTGCTCCCCTCTCCGTGCCCAAAGCATCAATGGTTTCAGCGAGGTCCAACCAGGTCGGACTCAAGAAATCGACTCCTGCGCACTAGTGACCACGACTTGTCTTTTGGCGAGGCCTGCAGATAGGACACTTTGGGGAATTGAAGCTTTGGGTTTTGGTTCGGTTGAATCAGTGCAGCAGCTTGTGGTTTTTTGTGGCGGGGGTGGTGGTGGCCCGTTCTTCCAGCACCCAACGCCACCACCAGTCCATCACCCGGCAGTCGTGGTCGTCGTGGTTGTGATCTTTCTTCGGGTAAGGCTTCGCAACACCAGATTCTGTTCACTACAAGTTGCAGGTGCATCCCTGAAGGCGTGTGCGTCTGTGTGGGAAAGGGATCCTTGATGTGGTTAAACGGTTATGCTGATTGGACTCGAGGTTGCCTCTTCGAAAGGCTTCGCAGTCTTTGCGAGCTCGCAGGCCGATCCTACGCCATTCCTGAATGAAAACGCCAAGGACTCCCCGTCGGCCTCGGCCCCATGCCCTGCAAGACGTGCTCCAAGCTGGGTTGCAAGTATTCGCGTGACGATTCACTGTCGTCCAAAGACGGAGGTTTGTGGCGCTTTGGATTGGGCCGACTTTTTTCGGTTTGGTGTTGTTGCAGTGTGCTGCATTGCTTAGGATCGCGCGACCAGCACGCCCCCGATACACCAATGCTTCACTGACTTAAATCTGTGCTGCCTTCAACCCCCACAGCACCAAGTCCTCCACGGCGTCCGCTGCCGCACAGGAGCGCACCGTGTTTCAAACATCCCAGACGACCCGGGCACGACCCCAGGCTTGACAAGAGTCGCCAACCAAGGCCGCCCTGGCATCGGTCCCGGGCGATCAGGCAGGGTCCGAGGGTCGAAATTGAGAATTCTGGGACGGAGGGGGGCGTGGGCAGGGGGGTGGAAATCTCAAGATCCGTGGTACTGCAAGCACGGCCTTTGGTTGAGAAATGTGAAGTCGAACCCTTTATGTGTGGTGGTGGTGGTGGTGGTGGTGGTGGTGGTGGTGGCGCTTGACGGTAGTCTTGGACGAGAAAGCAGAGTGGCGGGCACGGCCTCAGCAACAGCGGCGCTAGCTGTCGTCGTGGTCGCAGGTAGGAGGTAGCAGCGATCACCTTAACGGCGAAGGGAATGCTGGCCTTGATGAAGGTGTGTCGGTAGGGTCGGGTTGTGAATGTGGCATTTTAGTCGGTTATCGTAGTCGGGAAGACCGAAGACCCTTAAGGATGGCTTCCCTGTTTGGTGCATACTGGCAGCTTCAAGCAGGACCCCATGGACGTCTCGGACTTCTTGGAGCCCAGCATCTTGGTTCTGCCAACTTAAACTCGAGTCCGAGGTAAGTCGACATTCGCAGACATACAGATTTGATCTATTCCCTTCCTCGGGGTGGATTCGCCCAGACAAGAACTGACATGCTGTCAGAGTTGCAATCGAGAACTAACTACGGATGGCACGGACCGCAACACTGTCGATTCTGTGGCATGCTGAGGGAGGAACCCTTCAAACCTTCCCTTTCCAGACACCCATGCTGGGTCGACACTTCTGAAGGCCCGCGGGATGCGGCACAGCGCAGCACATCGTCAGCAGCCAAGCGGGAGGCGGACCGTATGCAGGGTCGTGCATCGTCCGGGCTTGGCAGAAGGGCAGGGGCAAAAGCCTTACTCATTGTCATTCGGATGTGCGGTAGGTTCAGATCTTGATGTTTGTCATCGCGGGACTGTAAGAGTTCGAGCAGAAGACTGCAGCTGTTGGCCAGCATCGAGAAGTGGCTGGTTCCTGTACTTGTCGCACTGTTGGCTGCATCTGTCGGTGCTGATATTTCCTACAAAAAAATGCTGACCAAAGAAGCCTTGCCTGCAGCAACTGCACACATCCCACGTATGTTGATGCACCCGACGGCGAGGATGGGCAAAGTGCAGAGTACAGCGGCAATGACTCGGGAAGCAAAGTCTTCGGATCCTGCATTTGCTGTCAGGGGCTCCGGGACGTCTTCGATGCTCCGGAGCCAAGCGTCTTGGTTGCCAGTGTCTTCTGAGCTCACCAGAGACTTGCCGACGACCTGCAACGTGTCGGATCCACGTCGTGTGGCTGAGCTGTTCTTCCGACATCCGAGACTCAGAGGCTGCACAATCGAGAGTATCCACCGAACTCCACCCTGACAGCAGGCAGAGACGTGGCCCAGATCCTCCAAGCTCCGCCTGACGTTCATACGAAAGTGTCCCCCCGACATAGGGATCCTGAAAAAGCAGGTGCCTAAATGATGCACACCTGGTTTAAGGAAAGCAGCATACGAAGAGGTACGAAGCAACCGAACTTGCAAAGGCGCCCCCGATGCTGCGACAGACCAGCCGGACGCAAAGCACGAGGTGGGTAGAAACGTCGTGCAAATCGTGGAATGATGTGAGAGTACGACGCTGCGATGAAGACTGCGACAGGTCCAGGTGCGATGGATGGGACAGCGAATCACATAATGATTGTATGAGGTTTATGCAAAAGATTTTGCCCTGGTGGACTCGGCTTCCTTTGATGATAAGCCTTGCCCCGTGACAGGCTCCCTCGGACGCCTCCGACCCGCCGGAGCTGAGTGCCTTGGTAATTACTGGCGCTCTACATCAATAGGTTTGGCAGTTTAGCTTCGGGTTGATGTCTTGAGCATGACACCGTGGAATCAGATGACAGGTTAAGACGGCTCTGCCAGGTCTGCGCGCTGCGTCTGTGAGTGAGCCTCCAGCTGTGCAGCACGAGGCGGTCCCAGCCCGGTGCATGGAAAGGTTCTGATGTGCCCTGGGTATGCCCTGGGTATGCTGTATGCTTTTGCGGATTCTCCAGTTGTTGCATAATTCCTTTTCAGTTCCGGGAGCTCTTCCTCTCAGGTTGCGGGGCTACGGTCCAGCCTGTGCGAACATATCAAAGAAATACCTAAAAAGGGCAACAGTTTATGCACGATGGAATGTGCGATGTGAGTCAGAGCCGCCTTGACATAACTGCTGTTCGTCATAGGCGGCAGTTTGCGACACTCGACTCTGACATACAGATCCTTGTGGGCGGATGTTGGCAACCATGAATCGATGCCGGTGCCGTCCCAAGGTTCTCGCTTCTTCACTTTACAAAGAGCTTGGCTGCCAACACTAGGCAGTCAAAGCCATGTGCGCAAGAATCCTCAATCTTGCAAGCAGGTCCTCGGAGGGGACTGCTTCCAAGCCACACGCAGATCCACGGTAAACCTTGAGAATTCTAGATTCTAGTGGCTTCGGGGCCTTCTTGGCTTAATTGCACGAACGATGTGGCATGAGAGGCTCCCGAGAATGCCTCCCAGGGCTTGGAGCAAAGCTGCTTGGTGGCAACGTCCCGCTTTTCGATCGTACGTGGTGACGGACTTCAAATTAAGAAAGGCTCCCCGACCCTCCCAAGGATGTGAGCCCTGGCCTCCGCAGTAAGAGTCCGGATCCAGCATCAGAGCCATTGAACTCCAGGAGCCTTACATCATTTTCAGTTCCTGCGAGCTTTCATCTACATCAGCAAGATTCTAGTTTTCCCGCTCCGGCCCCGCTTTGATTCTGCAAATACGAGGGGACGTTCTGGGAACTGGATTGTGCAATTAAGCGGGGGATTCTAAATATGAGGCATGTCTGACAGCAATCGACCTGGTTCAAAGGCCCATGCGATGCAGCTGCACCCAGCGAGCCAACGCCTGTGCAGCACGAGGCAGGTCCAGCCCGTTTGTATGCGGGCAACAGCATCGCAGGCGTGCGAAGGGGCAAAGTTGATTGGTGTTGGCGATCATGCAGAAGATGTTGCAATGCGGCACAGACCCGATTACATCAGTCCTTTCCACACCGTACCATGCGAGGCTCCCGAGAATGCCTCCCAGGGCTTGGAGCAAAGTTGCTTGGTGTCAAAGTGCGGCTTTGCGATCGTTCGTGGTTGCGGAGCAGCTTGGTTGGTTGTGATAACTCGGAGTGGGCTTATGTAGAAGGACATGAGCTGTGGAGACTTTTGACCGAATGTACATGTCTGACAGCAATCGACCTGGTTCAAAGGCCCATGCGACGCAGCTGCACCCAGCGAGCCAACGCCTGTGCAGTGCGAGGTGCCGGAGTTGATGCTGGGTGTCAGAGATCACGTAACTCAGGCGGTCAGGGGTTTATTGTCCCAACGCACAGCCGCGATTACCTTCGTTCTTTCCACAGCAGCCTCTGAGAGTTCTGCCGTTTACAAATGGGAAGTCTGCGCCGAAAAGGAAAAGGAAGAGCTTCGATGGTCCGCTCTTTGCGCGGAGGAGGCCCGGATTGATCCCGCAGGGGCTTTAAAAATTGAGTTTTCTCCGTTCCCGTTCGCGATTTCGATTGGGGCTTCGACACGGAGTATGAAGGCCAGCACTTCAATGCAACAAAATCACAAGCCCAAGTCCCTGACCTTAACCCCGAAATTCAGTTCAGAGATGTTCACCCCGTTTTTCTCGTTGCCGGGGGTGAGCCTCCCCGTCCGCACACTCTTCTTACACCCGGCCCCTCACGAGGCTCTCATTCCTTTAACCCGCCCCCACATTGGCAAAGCAGTTGCTCAAATTTCTTACACCATCTCCCTCATTAGGCACTGGCGGTTGATCACGTTTCTTAAGCCCACCTCCTCATTAGGCAATGGCTCTTGATCCCAATTCTTGAACCTGAACCACATTAAGCCCACCCCTTGCCCCCCTCGCTCGATTGGCGATGCCGGTTGATCACATGTTTCTAAATCCGCCCCCTCATTAGGCGATGGCGGATAATCGCATTTCATAGGTCTTCAACCCACCCCCCCGTATCAAGCCATGGCAGTTTCGGATGTGCCACGAAAACTTTAGCCTTTCAGGTTCTGTAGGGCCGCTCAGAAGAACCGTGAACATGCAAAAAGCAGAGTGCACTTCGATGGTAGTCCAGAAGCCAGTTCGCAACGAGTTGAGTTTGACAGAGTATATGATGGCCAAGCGCAGCGCCCACTCGCGCACCAATTGAACATGCTGTATACGTAGCAGTAGTGGTAGTAGTAGTTATAGTAGTATATAGTAGTAGTAGTAGTAGTAGTAGTAGTAGTAGTAGTAGTAGTAGTAGTAGTGGCAGCAGCAGCAGTAGCAGTAGCAGTCGCAGTAGCAGTGGCATTAGCAGTAGCAGTAGCACTAGCAGTAGCCGTAG